TCCACAAGCGTCAGCTCTAGGGAGGGCATTTGATTTGGCCCTACTCTCCCACGCTACCCAGATGACTTGGGACAATGAACGCACTTGTACTGTATGAAAAATAAGAATAGGTTTTACCCTTTCTGGCAATAAAACAGCGGGTGTTAAGATGGTTAAACACCAAATAGAAACCTTTTTGCAAGGAATCAAGTCTGCATTAACCGCACGGACTTGTGGTGAACATGTAAACAAACATGCTCTGATAATAAATGCAGTTTTCTCTGTGTGCCTATGTGTGTGTCTCTCTTTGTGTGCCTCTGTGTTATCTATCTCTGCTTATGTGTCTGTCTGTGTGCCTATGTGTGTGTGTCTCTCTCTGTGTGTCCCTGTGTTATCTCTCTCTGCTGATGTGCCTGTCTGTGTGCCTATGTGTGTCTCTCTCTGTGTGTCTCTGTGTTATCTCTCTCTGCTTATGTGTCTGTCTGTATGCCTATGTGTGTGTGTCTCTCTCTGTGTGTCTCTGTGTTATCAATCTCTGCTTATGTGTCTGTCTGTGTGCATATGTGTGTCTCTCTCTGTGTGTCTCTGTGTTATCTCTCTCTGCTTATGCGTCTGTCTGTGTGCCTATGTGTGTGTCTCTCTCTGTGTGTCTCTGTGTTATCTCTCTCTCTGCTTATGTGTCTGTCTGTGTGTCTCCATGTCTGTGTTTTGTCTCTCTCCCAAATTTAGCAATCTTTGGAAGAACGTTAATCAACCAGGTATGGTGTTGACTGTTATGTTAGCCGACTCTCTGTGTTGTATTGCATTATATTTATAAGTTTACCAGGTTTGTTTTCTCTTTCATTTGTACCTGATGATGATTGCTTATGTTGCAATCGAAACGTCGTATGCTATTATTTAATTTATTTTTCCTTCTACGTGACTTTACCGAAATGACCAAAGAGTAATACATGCATTGTATTTGAAACTGATTGGCCCTCACCAGAGACAGCCTTCTTTGCCACCTAGCCTCATCAGTGCCAGACCAGAGAACGCCAAGACGCGAGCAGTACAGAGACAATGCACGTACTGCATCTGTCCGAGCTATAAATCAGAGCATTTATAGCACGGACAGATGCAGGGATTTAAGAAATTGGCACCGTTGGTTCATCCGCCACGCCGAGAGATGGCATCGAACCGGCGACCTCTGGATTGCAAGTCCAGTGCGTTGACCATTACGCAGCGGCAAGATATTCCCTGTAATTTATAGACGACTGTAATATTTGCCGTCTTCTTTCCCTTCGTGAGCGTCAAGGAGAATACAAAATCGGTTTAAAAGATGTTGACTGATTTGTTGACATATGTATTGCACCATAAATGCGTGTTGATGTAAATTGTATTGCTCGGTGTATTGAAGGCTTCGCACCTTCACACTGCGTTTGCAATCTTCAACTGTACTCCAGGTTTCAATGGGCTCTTGCCTGGCTTCGGTTAATTCGAGAAACATGAACCAATTACATGGAACATATGTGAAACTAAAAACAGTAATGTTTTGGATTTTATACTAATCTATTAATCAATGCATCGTTGCTGCAGGACAGTGCAATACACCTCTCATCCGCGGTGATGAGGGAATGAACATCGTGGATCCTGTTATCCGCGAAATTATCTGCAAATTTACCCCACTTATCCATCAAAATCAATATTGTTTTTTGCAGAAAAAAGGATTAATTTGCTTATGAACTCCACTTATTCGTTAACAATTTTACGGATAATAGGACTAATGATGTAATTTCCAGAAGTGCATACCAGGAAAGGGAGCAGGTCAAGACCCACGCGGATAATCGTATGAATCTGCCTCTTCAACTTCACTTATCCACAAATATTTCCGCGAATAACAGGAAGACGTTGAACGTAATTCTGTGTTTGAAAAAAAAATGCGGACAATCGCGAATAATTTAAGAATGGGGTCGTGGATAATATGCACGTATGTATGTTGAACTTCATTCACACCGTACGTAGCCAACCGTGCTAATCGGAGGTGCGGAATAGGAGCTGTCGCGGGCCCTCCCGGATAATAAGAATCACACGTGATAGGGCTATGAGGAAGTGAAGTTAGGCGAGTTCACGGATAAGTGGAGTTGCACGGGGTAGGAGTGGCAGGGGGGTGAAAAAAAAACAGATGAACAGCATCATGAAACTCAACACTGGTGCCCCTGCATTCACGCCATAGGCGTGTATTGTTGGGAGATCTCGTTTTAATAACAATAATAATATGGCTCAGGGCTAATGAAATGAGACACCCTCGTATGCATGGCACACGTTACGCATCCACTCACGCGATGGTGACGTCGTGCGGCCGGGCTTAGCGTAAACAGAAGGAATACAAAAAAACATCTCGCATTCTGCCAATAACAGGGGGTCTTAAACTAAAATGTACAATAGGCGACAGTTTCGGGAAACGGCCCTCCTTAAACAAATTACTCTTCAACATCGGTGGCATTTAACAAAATATTAATAGTTTACACCTTTTGCCAATGTATCGAGCCGCGTCACGGCCATGGGAGTTATTTGAGCGGTCAGTGCGGGTCGGTGAAGGAGGGACAGCCCGGCATCCATTCACATATCAGATTTATAACTCGCCGCTCATGTCAGCCGTGGCCACGAAATCAAAACTCGGATGGGGGTGGGGGGGGGAGGCCCGGTTTTACATCGCATAGCGCAGTGCGATGAGCATTGCGCCACAGCTCCGGCCGATATATTTGCCAACATTGTTTTGTTTTAATACTCTTACAAAAGCGCGCAACTTTATCTATCTGTGATGGACGCTGCACTTTCCGTCGTTTTCATGCAGGAGGCGCTGCAAACCTCTTCGCGCCCCCTGCATGAACGACGGAGGCGCAGGGACAAGACGTTTGATTACGTTGGAATCGATCTGCAGACGGCGGTCTTCTCGCACGGCCAGCAGCTCTATGTCGCCTTATCTCGATCCCGCAATCCCAAACAGGTGAAAAGTCCGCATCGAACCGAACCCCCAGCAAGGCCATCTACTTACCGACGAGAGAAAATTCACACGAAATGTCGTTTTAAATTAAGTCGACCGAATGTAAAATGATATAAGATTTTAATGAAGAAATACAATTGTCTAATTCAAAACATAATACAATTCAAAAATGTTTCATTTTAAAACTTCTAAACGGAGCGTCGGGTGATTGCGTGAATGCGCCGTTCGTGTGCAATTGTTTTCGTGACTTTAAAACATTAACTCAATCTAAAATAAAATACGTGGCGGTATCACAGCTTACCACGAAGCCTTACACAAAGCGTGCTGCTGTTAATGAAGATACGTCCGACGGATTGCGTGTGACAGCACGGGGTCCCGTCACTCGATCAGACACCGGCACTTGCACCGACACCTGCATTGTTACCCACGCCATTGTGTCGTCACAGGCGTGAGCTGGTGCACGTGTGGGGTAGGTGGGGGCGGTGGTTTGCGCAACCGAACCACCTGGGTTCCATTCACCCCGGCCACGGCTAACGTCGGTGGCGAATATCTGAAACGGGTCCTGGGTCTCCCGCAGGTCGACTCAGCATCAATACGAGCAGCTGATGCCAGTGCCGGATTAAGCTAGTGCGGGGCCTGTAGCACATGTTATAGAGGGGCCCTAAATAAATAAATAAAAACTCGTAAATGTTTAACTTGCATAGTAAAGCAATTGTATTTTTTTCATTTGCTATACAGCCAGATAATAAACACCCAGTCGTTCGTAAAATTTGAAGGCGGTGTAGTACTATAGTAATAGAGAGAGTGCAGAATCACTGAACAGGAATTGATAGCTTGAAAGCATTTAGCGTGGGTGCCTTCGAAAGTGCGGGGCCCGTTGCTACATGGAACTACTTTTGTTACGAAGAGAATCCGGCACTGCCTGATGTGTGAACGATAAACAACCACCCCCCTCCCCCCCCATCAGAAGTGGAGAGACAAAGACGGCCGAGTGTGGTTGCGCCGTGTCGGTCACAATAGGTTATCGCTAACAGTACTTGCCGCAACGGTCTGGAATCGGAACATGTATTTATACTGGAGGAATCCGATGAGCTATAAAGCTCTTTTTCGCAGTTGGCTATGTAGGTTAGGGGATTTTTGTTAGAATATTTAACACCGGTGGCGAGGAATATTCAAAGTTTCCCAAACACACAGTGGGAACCCCTCCCGGGTGAGAGCAGCTAGAGCAGATACCCTTAACTACACGACAGACAACAAAAACAATCTCAACTACTCAACTTTTGTATTCTTGGTTCTTTCGGTAAAGTCACGTAGAAGGGAAACAAATAAATAATAAAAATATAAAACAATAAAATTATCACGACGTTTCGTCTGCAACACAAGCAATCATCATCAGGTGTGAAAACCACAGCAAGAAAAAAATGTCTTGCTGTGGTTTTATATTTTTATTATTTTATTGGTTCCCTTCTACGTGACTTTACCGAAAGAACCAAGAATATGAATTCCTGCAGTCACGAAAGCTTTACATCAATATTCAACTTTTGTTATTTTACAAGGTAAGCTCTTTTTTTTAGAAGCGACTTGCCCACAAATGTTAACTAAAGCAAGTGGCTTACCATCACGTGGGAATGAAAAGCGGCCAAATAACTCCTAAACGCATGTCGATTCTCAACGTGGAGTGAAAAACCGGAGGATCCGGAGAAAAATCCACGCCACCACGGACAGAGAGAGGGGCACGCAAACTCCAAATATACAGCAGCAGGCCGTCAGGTTCGAGGATCAAACCGACGGACCTCCTGCGTACCAGGCGAGGTGGTTAACATCTCGCCGCAAAAGCAGGTTGCGCCGTTTACCCGTTCCGCAATTGTTTGTTGTCGCCGTGCCCCTCGCCACCGGACTTTGTGTATTCACCCCCCAAACACCGGCCCGTCCGCTGGTCCCGTTGACCAGAGCTGGCGCGCGCGTCCGTGCGCGTGCGTGCGCGTGCGTGTCCGTGCGCGTGCGTGTCCGTGCGTGTCCGTGCGTGCGCGCGACATACCTCTGGCGTTTCCCTGAGTGGGCAGCTGTGCTCTCTCTCCAGCAGCCCGATGCCCCGCTTGCCTCCCGTGTAGTGGGGGCAGTCCTTGGCCACCATGGTTGAGAATTGACGAGAGGGCGACGAGGGGATTGAGAATGGCCTCCTCCTCCTTTATTGGCTTTGCCAAACGCAAACCTAGCCCCCCACCCCTCAACTCAACCACTCAGCCTTCTCTTGGCGTACTCACATAGACCTAACTCCTCTCCCACCTTAGAGATGTCCCCTATTGTTCGTCCTTCGTGTCGCACTCATCCCCGATTGCCAGTTGGCACAAGCTAAGCACAACAAAGTCCAATAGGCTCAATGCCCTCTAACTAACCACGTGCCAAAATCTCACCCCACCCGCTTGGCCACCGTGCTGACGATACGGACTCGACGTCCTTGCGAACGTTGCTCGCTTGCTTGCCCCCTCTGTTAGAGGCTTCTCAGCCCGTTGCGAGCACGCCACCTCCGTCCCACGCGCACTGCCTCTCGCCGAATGTCTGGCTCTTTTTAAGTTTTGATCTGTTTGACTCTTCGGGGTTTGGAGGAGCTTGCGTGGGCGTCCTATGTGGGAGGTGCTTTCTGGCTGGATTGGTGAATTGCCCGTTGTGAAACACGCCCTGTCAGGTCAGGCAACCAATTGGGGCTTCATCCACACACAGAAAGAGACAGAGACGGCTGCACGTCGATCCTGTCATTCTAAGGAAAAACCAGGGGGGTGGTTAAATGGTGGCTTGAGACGTTGGATGTGGTGAAATCCTGGCCCTCATCCCATCATTATGCATCTTTGCCTATAAGGACTTCGTTGTTCTGTGCGTAGAAGTTATCTTAGACGTGAAGTTGGTGTCGTCTCGTTTATCAAGTTCAGATGCCATTGATATTAAATGTATATATCAGTTGCTTAGCATGCAAATGCTGTGTTGGTAAAACTAAAATTTTTGCGCCTTTTTTTTCGCAAGATAATTTCAGTTTGGGGGAGAAACGTCGATACAGTGTTTGGCACACTGAGCTGGCGATCTGAACTTGCTATTATTATTATCAAATTAAATGTTCTAAAATATATTGCTTGTAGTTGCATCGGTGTTTTTTTGTATTGATTGTTCAAAGCGTTGGATGACAAAACAGCTCCAGGGACAGGTAATTGTTTCAGAATTTTTTTTATAGGATAGGCATCAGCTGCTTGACCACGCCGAGACCGATTACAATCCGTAACGGTGTGCTGTACGCTCTATGCAAAGCATTTCACGTCGCCCTTGAAAAAAAAACACAGCGCAATGAGCTTTACGTGGGGAAAATAAACTTTTATATTTCTGAACAATAAAATATCTAAAAGCTAAATTTTGATTTAAAGCTTTCGTGACTGCGGGGATTCATATTCTTGGTTCTTTCGGTAAAGTCACGTAGAAGGGAAACAATAAAATAATAAAAGCTGTTGCCCAGTAAATCCAATTCAAAAAGGTAACGCAAGCAATTGTTTTTACATTCGATTGAAAATATTCATTTGCGCCAACAGCATTCGTGGCGTCACTTCGAAAAGAGTCCCAGAGGCGCGGAAAATGAAAGCTCAAGGCCTTTGACCCTCCTGATTTTACAGGACTTCTAGGACCTACCAATTGTTCGGTATTCGCTGATTCCTTGAGGCAGTGGTTCTTAACCAGGGGTGCACGCACCCACTGGGGGCGCGAGACGTGGACAGATTTTTTTTCGAAGGTAAATCATCGAAACACAAATTAAGCAAGGGCACGTTAAGTTACAACTTACTTTGCTTAATCAAACCCCGACGTATTTATGAACATTTTTTTCAAAAAAAATTACGATTAAGAAGCAAAGGGGTGCAAGGCTGCAATAACGGTTATTAAGAACCACTGCCCTGAGGCATACCTTGGTGTGGTATGCTGCGAAGGTCGAGCGAACTCGGGAGTGAGTGCCGTAAGGTGAGAGACCGGGTGAGAAGCGCCGCTCTCAAAGAAGGCACAAAACTCCAACCAGAGCAGCGTTCACGCGCTAACTAAGCAACGCTCGGTAGGGCAAGGTGCACGCCTTGCATAGGACGTTTGAGATGTGGTTACGAAGATGAGAAAACTCAGGAAAATTCGTCAATAAACACTGGCCGAAGGAGAAAACGTATTTAATAGGCGACGTCTCAGGCTTTGGTGAAGAAGGGTCGTCGCCCAAAACGTCGCCTATATTTATTTTCTCTCCGCCTGATGACGATCGCTTGTGTTGCGATCGAAACGTCGTGGGTTTTTTCAATTTATTTTAAATTTTATTTTACTATTTTTATTGTTTTTTGCTTTTATTATTTTCAATTTATTATTATTTTTATTGTTTTTTTATTTTGAATTGTATTTTTTTTTCTATCTATGTGACTTTACCGAAAGAACCAAGAATACAAGGCAGTGTTATTGACGAATGTGTTTTTTTTTTGCTATTGTTAATTGTGCACCGCTGCCAACGCAGCTGTAGCAGCAGCATGACCACCAACTTATTTTCTTAAAACGAACAAGTGTGCTCAATGACCATTGTAAATTAGTAATCTATGTGCGGTTGCAATTTTAGATCTACAGACAGCATGTACTTATCTGTTGTATGGAATTCCGTTAAACCCGTGCTCTTGTTCGCCACAATCATCCACGTGATTTGCTGGGCCTCCAGCTGCCTCTTGCAATCATTATTTATTTATTTTACAAAAACACAAACTTTTCAAACCCATGAGAATCATCCTCCGTTTCTCAGATTTTAAGAATCAGACTTCTACCTCTGCTTCACGATTGTGACATAGTTTAACATTTGCCAGTGCACGTGTTTTTTTTTTAAGTGTTTAAAGAAATTCATAGAAGTACATTTTTAATTATTAACAAGTTTTGATTAAACGTATTACATGTTAAGTTAATGTAATGAAACGTAAATATTTAGGAAGTATTTTTAGAATGAAGGACATTCCCCTGTGACTAGGACGGCTTCAGGAGCTTTTGCTGAATTCAGAACAGGGGTTTGCATTACAACAAATTAATTCGGTTTTGCGTTTTTAAACGTTTTAGGCCCAATAAAATGTTTTACCTTTTCGGATTAAGACATTTAAATCCAGTTATTTTCTTCATTTATAGCCATTGTAATGTAAAAAAAAATGCCATCTTTATAAATTCACATTTTATTCACTTTGATCATTTTGCGTTTCCATAATAAACATTTTTAAAAATCAATTTAAATGTACATTAACTTTAATCTCTCGGAAGTAATTTTACATTCATACGTAATTTTTACTGATATACCATTTAACAATCTTTTAAGTAATTTTGACAAAATTTTAATAACTTAAAATAATTTTACAACAATTATTATTACGACGACCTTTATCTACAAAGACATTTCATTGCTGCACGCCTTTTCAGCAGTGTCCTGCATCGCAAATTCCATGTCCAAATCGTTTTTTCTTTCGATCCCTGCTCTTGCGGAGCCGTCGCTAACACCTGACGACGCTGGGTGTAACCCCCCAGCGAAATGTCTGCGTGCGGCGGACGGTGGAGCAGGCCCATGTCCGCCGTCATCGGCGAGACCGAGGAAGAGGAGGAGGAGGAGGCGGGGGAGTTGCGGAGGCGACGAAGCTCTGCCCGCCCCAGAATCTCCCGCACGACGAAGCGCTCGCGACGTGCGCAGGCGTGCACGTGGGATGGCGTGTCCGGGATGACGTGGGCGATGAAGGCCTTTGTGAAGAATATCAGGTGCTGCGAATGCATCCACGGCGCAAGCAAAGGATTATCAGTTTCAGGATTTGCATGCGCTGTATAGAGGCGCTTGCTTCAATGGCTCAGCAACTGAAAGCGACTTATACGTCACTACTCATCTCAGCCACTCAAATTCCCTGCTGCAGTCTAGCCAAGGTGACCCCCAATGACAGCTGTCTCTGCATGATACAAGGTGTATGCAGGACCCGCCTCCAAATGAGCATTAGTCTGCCAGTAGGAGTCGCACCTCCGATTTGCACGGTTGGCTACGTATGGTACGAAAGAAGTACAATTTTACATATACAGGAATCGATGTTGCTTTGTGTTTTTTTTCTACAATTAACTACTGTGTGAAAAAGTTATTAAACTTGGCAAATTTAGACCGCATTCCCAACAGGATCCTTGCGAAAGAGTTCCGGAGACTCACGGTGACTTTTTTGGATGAGATAAATACATTGTATCGTATTACCACAATTATCTGTGATCTTGGAAAACATGATGCAATGGCGAGATGTGAAAGCATCAGTGACATTTTCTGTGATGACCTCATGACACTGATAATAAGTTGCTCTGCTGACCTTAAGAAGTGCTCACGATGAAGCCTGCAGGATGCTGCCGTGGTGCAATGCTTTTACACACTGGACTTACAATACAGAGGTCACCGGGTCAATTTGCTCTCTTGGCGAATCAGTGGAAACGATGAGCAAGCTTCTTAAATCCCCCCAGCCTCTGTCCAGTCCCCCCACCGCCAGCAAGTATAGATGGGTGCACCCTAAGCCAGGGGTGGATAACCTGCGGTTCCAGAGGCGTATGCAGCTCTTTAAGCACTGCATAGCGGCTCTTGAAATATTGATTTTTGTTTTATCGAATGAACAAAAAATGGCTCTTTTGGTTATTTTGGTTGCCGACCCCTGCCCTGGGCAGTCGATCAGGAGGAGGGTGTGGTACATCGTGGGCACTCCCACATGACGTCAAATACAATTGGGAGGGTCTCTCTCGCGCGCCCTCTCATGGAGGGGGCGGTGCAGTGGCGAGATGTTAACTCCCTCGCCTGGTATGCAGGTGGTTGTGGGTGCGATCCCGACCCTGACGCCTGCTGCCTATTTGGAGTTCGCATGTTCTCTCTGTGGTCACAAGGATTTGTCTCCGCATCCTCCGGTGTTTCCCTCCACGTTTAGCAACGTGCGTTTAGAGTATTTGGCTGCTCTAAATTTCCACGTGATTAGCCACTTCGTTGTGCCATCGTTTGTGGCCAGGTCGCTTCTGAAAAACAGCTATATAGCTCAGTGGGCCTTACCTGGTAAAATAAACATAGTTCATGGTTAAGAGTGGCATGAGCAAGGAATTCCATGGCTACACCTTTGCCTTGTGATGTACATATGTGTACGAATATGTGAGTGCATGCAGATACGTACCTCCACAACGATGACAAAGACCAGCTTTGCCGCCAGTATATGCCAGTACAGCGTGGTGACGGAGTACGCATGGGGATGATCTGGCGGGTAGCGATATCCTCTGTATCTGCGCACGTGTAATGACACCACAAGCACGCACGGCCTGTCCTGAGCAACGCGCATAGCAAGTAGAATTGGCACTAAATTCAATAAGTATGGTTACGTACATATGTCCGTTCACAGCCTGTTTGTCAGTCTGCTTCTGGATGACTGCCTTCCTACACCATAGAGGTTGAGGGGGTTATTCTGATCATGCTTCACGTTGGTCAGTGCGGGCTGATGAAGGCAAGGACTATAGATGATGGAACATAGTCGAGTACAACAACTGATTTTGCTGCAATACCCTCTGCCGACAATGCAGCCACCTGCAACACCTGTGGTCACCAATCCAGGCACGATCCACACTCAATAAGCTTGCTCAGCTTCTGAAATCGGTGGCAATCAGGTGCATTTTGAGTGCTACGGTTATGTGTGAGCATGGCTATATTATACATTGAGCGAATATGGTTATATTGGGTATACTGATTTAAAAAATACATATTTTTTTGCAATCGGCAAAATTTCCCAATGCAGGACCTTCCTGAAAAAAGCATATTTGGACTCAAAGAGGCCCTCCTGGATAAATAAATAAAATCACACAGCAAGGTGTCATTCTGCTAGAATTCATTTTATAGGAATATGGTCAGAGAGTCATTGTTACGCACGTCACAAATAAGACAGCATCACTGAGCTGGCTGTCATATGGAGGATGGTGTTACATTGAGCAATTACATCAAATCAACCATATCACACACAACAAGCAAAAGATCACACCCAGGAGGACGACACGCCCAGAAGGAAAGATGTCACATCAACTAGGACACCACACCCAGAATGATGTCACATCCACTCAGAAGAAGAATCTGTATTTATACTGGAGGAATCCGATGAGCTATAAAGCTCTTTTTTTTACAGATGTTCAGTATCCACTCAGACACCACACCCAGAATGATGTCACATCTACTACAACACCACACCCATAAGGATCGCACATCTGTTAGGCAGCATACCCAGAAATCTGGGAATCACATCCACGAGGACAGCACCACCCCCCCCCCCCCCCCGAAATGAGATCATTGCATTCAGCTGCACAAACCTGTACACTGTGTGGATTTCCGGGTCAAACCAGGATGGCAGGTTGTCGGGACGACTCCGCTCCTGGAAGTTGCTGATATTGAATATGGACAGGCTGTTCTCAGTGTACCGGTGCACGGTAGGCGAACCTTCGCCATGCCCTGCTGAGTAGTCGTAGTGGTGCAACAGCCGTGGGATGATGTCCGACGTGAAGGCCACGATGCATGCCTATGGCATTCGCCCACAGACACGAAGCGGTAGCGGTCAATAAGCATGCACAGTGATTACACCACCGGTTCCCAACATCCACTCACTCCCCAAACTGTCCTGAGTAATTGCAAGAATTGTCACAAGTTCAATTTTAGGGGATGCTGTCATGGCATAATGCTTAGCGCAATGACTGGCAATCCAACAGTCATCATAATAAAGGTTTTTGGGTTAGATCGCGTTATTTATAGACGTGTTGTAACCCTCCACCACACGACACAGCCAATCAGTAAAAAAGTGTCACGTTGACAAAAGACAAATACTGTCTTCTGCTGCCAGGCCACCAAGATTATACGGCTTACCAAAAATACATAAAGTAGATACACCCCTTCGTCCCATCGTCTCTACTATCAACTCCCCCATCGTTCCATCGTCTCTACTATCAACTCCCCCACCTACAAACTGGCTCGTTTTTTGTCTGAAATTCTGCGTCCTTTCACTGGAAAAACCACCTCTGCGGTACAATATTCTACTCACCAGGTATCGACAATCAAGGGTATTTCCCTGTCCCCAGACGACCTGCTTGTCAGTTTTTATGTAGTTTCCTTATTCACCAAAGTTCCTGTACCTGACACCATCGCAATCATTGAAGACTTGGTTCATCAAGGACTAAACACTGAGGTACCCCCCCTGGTGGGACACTGTTTAACCAATACATACTTCACTTGGAATGGAATTTTCTACAAACAAACTGAGGGCACCCCAATGGGCTCCCCCCTATCTCCGATTATAGCTAAAATTTCCTTGGAGAAATTTGAGACTGACGCCATCCAGACTGCCACTCTGCGCCCAACCTTATGGAAGAGGTACGTGGATGACACTTTTGTCATCTGGCCACATGGCTGGCCTGCTCTAGACCAATTCCTCGGCCACATCAATTCCATACACCCAGCCATCAGATTTACCATGGAAGTCGAAAAAGATGGCAAGCTACGTTTTTTGGATGTCCTAATAAAAAAGAGACCTGATGGTTCAATGAGCCACTCTGTCTACAGGAAAGCTACCCATACGGATGCTTATCTGAAACCGGATTCCCACCACCATCCATCACAGAAGAATTCTCTCATCAAGACTCTGTACCATAGAGCCCAATGCATATCCGACCAGGAACACATAGCCAGTGAACTCAAGCACGTACACCAAGCTCTTAAGGCTAATGGTTACTCCGACTATACAATCCGCAAAGCTATCACTCAAACCATGAAGAAGGACCCTCTTGAGGAGCCTTTGAAAACCATCACTTTACCCTACATTGCGGGGATCACAAAAAAGATCTCCAAAATCTTGAATAAACACAAGATCCAGGTCCGTTTCAACACATTACATAAAATCCGTGATCTGGTTCCGTCTGTAAAAGATGTGATTCCGGACATACAGTACCCTGGTGTCTACAAACTAAGTTGCCTCTGTGGTAGTAGTTATATTGGAGAAACCAAACGCCATGTCTTGGACCGCATTCGTGAACACAAAGCAGACCTTAAACACGGTAGGATCAACACCTCGGCCGTGGCAGATCATTGTTATAATTCAGTAGGCTCACATGACATTGACTTCTCCAAGACAGAGGTTCTTTGTAAGCCATCTGGCTACCATGAGAGATTGGTTCATGAGGCTATCCAGATATACAAGCACAGAGACAATTTCAACCGAGAAGATGGATTCTGGCTTGGCAATCATTGGAAGGATTTGATAAACCATTTCAGGTCTTAATTGATTGTTCACGCTTACGGTGGCTTTCAGACAGCATACATTAATTTTCCGTCTCCCCCCTCCTCTTTTCAGAACATAGATGGACTCGTCCTTCTAAACAAACTGTCAAATCGCTGCCCGTGGTGCTAACGGCAAAAAAACACCGTTTAAAAATAAATAAATGCAAACCGCCACTTCTTTCAAATGTTTCTTGGCGTTGGTTTTTTCACACCTGATGATGACCGTTTGTGTTATGGTCGAAACGTCGTGAGACTTTTTATTGTTTTATATATATTTTATTATTTTATTGTTTACCTTCAACGTGACTTTACCGAAAGAGCTAAGAATACAAATACTGTAGTTCACTACTTTAGCCCACCGGTGTGCTGAAGAGTGAATCCACAACATTTACAATTTTTGACTACGACGTTTCGCTGGTAATTACATACAGCATCATCGGGCAATTTGCCAGAATAGTGAAGCCCTCACTTGCTCCCGTTCTTAAATAGAGCAGCAGGGTGACCGGGAGCAAGTGAGGGCTTCACTATTCTGGCAAATTGCCCGATGATGCTGGATGTAATTACCAGCGAAACGTCGTAGTCAAAAATTGTAAATGTTGTGGATTCACTCTTCAACACACCGGTGGGCTAAAGTAGTGAACTATTTGTCTTTTGTCAACGTTACACTTTTTTAGTGATTGGCCGTGTCGGGTGGTGGAGGGTTACGACACATTTAGAAATAACGCGATCTAACCCAAAAACGTTTATTATGAACAATATTGGTTGCAAAAGCCTACGTGTTAAACCAACAGTCGTCAGTTCGATCTCATGCAGCAGTTGAAGCGATGGGTCGTTTTGTTAAACCAACCCCAGGCTTTGGCCCCCCGATAGTACAAATGGGCTAGTTATAGTCTGGGTACTCCCACGTTTTACAACACATCTGGCAGAGCGTGGAATAGTAGGCCAATTATCTTGTTGAGGGGCTCTCTAGCGCTACCTCTATTTGTGAGCCTCCAGCCAACAGTGGCATGAGCAAGCAATCACAGGGCTGAAACTTTACCTGTCACAACGTTTGGGGTGGGGTGCGTGGGATGGGTTGGGGGGAGTGGTGGTGCAGTGATTCACACACTGTGCTTTGAACTCAGCCGCCTGCGTTGAATTTCCAGCTACGGCTAACGCCAGTGGAGGGTGATATCTTAGCCAGTCCTGGTCCCCATTCCAGCCCTTCGCCAACCCGTATTAACATCTGGCCACGGTGCCGAGATGTTAACTGCCTCGCCTGGTATACAGGAGGTCGCGGATTTGATCCTGACCCTAATACCTGCTGTATATTTGGAGTGTGTGTGTTCTCCCCGTGGTCGCGTGGAGTTTTCCTCTGAGTTTTCTCCGGTTTTTCCTTCCACATTTAGATTCAAGTGGAACTGCTGAACCAGCGAGAGAGTTGTTACAACAAGGTTATTTATGTGGCGATGGGCAAGCAAGCGGGGTCTGAGTTGGAAAGGAATTTCATCCCCGGACGCAAGCACGTCAGTTGTGTTAATGGGGGAGAATAAGGAGAGAGATTAGGGAGAGAGATTAGCATGGAATGAGCTTCCGTCGCCGCATAAGAGTATCATCCCGCATATGCACACAACAGCAGTGTTAATGGGAGATTAGCACTATGTTGATGGGAGAGATTAGGCAGGGAAATTAGGGGGATTAGCAAGTTAATGTCATGTCTATGTGTAGCACAAGCTGCGGCGCTGCCAACTGCGCTGTGAGGCAAGCGCGTCCACGCAAGGGAACCACCGCAACGGTGGTCGCATCAGTGAGACACACAGCCCATCACACAGCCAGAACCATCGATACATCGAGGCTAAGGGAGCAGAGGTGGCCATGCTAGTGAGACTCCAGCCCGTTAATGCAGAGGCACCTAACAGGGCAATGCAACTCAGAGAGTCGGAGAGAACAGCCAAACGGCAGGGAAGAATGGAAGCACCACAGCAAGTTACGACTTTGCTTGGTCAATAACGTCCTTCCAATGATTGCTCAGCTTATACCCATCTTCTCGGTTGAAATTGTCTCTGTGTTTATATATATCTGGATGGCTTCATGGACAAATCTTTGAAGGTAGCCCGAAGGTTTTCAGAGTACCTTGGTCTCGGAAAAAACAATATCGTGCGAGCCCACTGCGTTATAACAATGATCAGACACTGCAGAGGTATTGGTTCTGCCGTGTTTCAAATCTTGCCTTGTGTTCGCGAACACGGTCCGAGACATGTCGTTTCGTTTCCCCAATGTAACTGCTGCCGCAGACACAACTTAGTTTGTAGACACCAGGGTATTGCATTTCAAGAATGACATCCTTCACAGATGGGATCAAATCACGGATTTCGTGTACTGTATTGAATCGGACCTGAATCTTTTGTTTGTTTAAGATTTTGGAAATCTTTTTGGTAACACCTGCTATGTATGGCAAGGTGATGGTTTTGATTGGGTCCTCAGATGGTTGTCTCCCCACGGTTGGGGATACAGCTTTGCGGATTGTGCGGTCTGAGTATCCATTCATCTTGAGGGCTTGGTGTACGTGCTCCAGTTCACTGGCTAGGTGGCACTGATCGGAGATGCAGCGGGCCCTATGGTGTAGTGTTTTGATGAGGGAGTTCTTCTGGACCAGATGGTCGTGGGAGTCAGGCTTTAGATAGGAATACGCGTTAAGTGGCTTTCCTGTAGACAGCATGTCCCAACGAGCCATCAGGCCTCTTCTCAATCAAAACATCCAGGAATGGTAGCTTGCCATCGTTTTCCACTTCCATGGTGAATTTGATGGATGGGTGTATGGAATTGATGTGGTTGAAAAACTGGTTTCATACTTGTTGTAGGCTGCAGCATTGTGGACAACAGAGGTCAGTGCAGCAAAATTCGTTGTTGTATTGTGCATACAGCATAGTATTCTTTCACATCTGTGCTCCCTGCCTTTACCAACCAGAAACACGGGTCAAATGACTCAAACCCGCACAGCAGATTGACAAAGAGCTGCACGCATACTGTCCAATAAAATTACGCCCAATTGTTTTGTGTTTAATACCAAAAAAAATAACAATGCACCGCTGACGGAGCAATGCAGATCCCTCCGAGTCGGTCATACCCATCTCGAGGTACTCGTCGAAGAGTCCGAGCGAACTCTGCGGCTGCAGGCCCATGTCCTGCTCACAGCGCGTATGGACATTCTGAGGCCGTTTCTTGGCCCGACACTGAGCCAACCAACTGCTGAATCACCTGGGGATTGGCGGAAAGGAGGGGGGGGGCACGCAGACACGCAGATGAATGCCCGTAGTAGGCACGGACACATTTAATCATCAACTTGGGGTTGTCTGTTTAACCCTTTCTCGTTCCGATGACGTACGTGTATGTCGTCAAAACGAAACCGGAATAAAAAACCGAAAGATAATAACTTTATTGGTACCGAGGCTCTCGCAAGGCCATGCGGGAGGGTGTGCAGCACGTTCCGGCGCCAGCTATCATAGAGCGTGGTCGTGTCGCTACCGTTCTCTGCGGTGAGTTCAATGTCTTTAAAAACAACGGCACCACGCCTCTCTAAATCAAATTAACACGGAGCCGCTTGTGCGCTCTGAGATTCAGAAGTGAACGGGACACCACACCGCAACTTGTAGACGTCTCGAAATGAGAAAGGGTTAAGAGCTCTCGAATGTGTTTTCGGGGTTGAACCACAGGAAGCTTCCCAGCATGTCGAGCGAAACATCAGACACCGTGCTGGACAACATTGCGGTGCAACACGAAAAAACACGCCAGAGCGTGAGACAGAACAACGCTTAAACCTACTGCCAGTCATGGACGTTGCTTGCCTAAAATTATGGAACTGCCCGGATGAAACTTGATGCAGCAATAGCCCAAGGTGAACTTTGTAGGAACAGTTGACTGCGGGTGTTAACTGCTAACCTGGTATGGAGCAGTTCCACAGTTTGAATGCATGAGGCTGACATAGTAAGCGCTGCTAGTGAGACCCATTAATGTGGGCTAACGAGGCATCCTTTGTCTACCCAACACTGGTTAAGCATTGCAATGATGCAAGGTGGTCGGGTGGTTCAGAGGTCTGAGCGCTGAGTTGGCAGCACTGAGATTCTGCATTAGACTCCAGGCAGCTGCCTCTAATTGAACAGATTTCTCAAGTGTAGTGAGATGATCAGCCTGGTCAGTATTGAAGAAAGAAAAATAAACTCCTGTAATATTAGATTAGTTTCTGTGCTTAAATTGGCCAAATGTCAGCTTTTTACATAAATAAATTAATTAAACATATTGGTTTGACCATCACGAACATTTCTTCTGAGCAGAGTGGATGGGAATGCATAGGAAAATGCTGCCCCCTATTGTGGTCCCTTGAAGGGGTCAATAATTGTTTCTGTGGACCTCTCTCTAACATGTGGTGATGCGCCGCTCTGCGAAAGTTCATCATGAATTCTTCTGTGCACGACACGGCGGCAACAGCACAATCGCGATGGAAATTCGGCGAAAACGCCAGCAACTGTCATGAAAGAAAACAGTACAAGTTACTTATCCAACGGGACAACATAGAGGCGTGTGTGATGAGGTAGTCGTCGTGGGGATGACAGAAAGCTTTACCATGGTGATGATGTTGAGCTTCTTGCTTGTGCAGCGAGCCTCATACTCAGGTCGGATCGGATCGCCCTCCTCCTCCGTCAGGTCCCAGCGGAGAGCGAGCGACGTCTGGTAGCGCTTCCAAATCTCCAGGAACACCGTGGCTGCATCACACGCCACACGGCAACTTTCAAAAGTAATCCGACTCCCGAATACTCCAGGTTTAGACGTTACATAATGCCGTCTTTTATATGATATTTTCACAGTAACTGAAAATGAGTACTTTGTTTTACTTTCATAAATACCTAAAAAAATGTGCCATGGGTGTCATGTCACGTGATGGAGTATGCATCTTTTGCAGAGCCATGCCACCCTTTTATTATTATTATTACTACACGCTTTCTTTTAACTCACTCTGTCTGTTGTCGTTGTCGTTGTTGTATCCCAATGTGGTATCGACTGCAAACTTGGTATACTTGCGTCATACTGATGACAATACTATATTCTATCATTAAACAAGAAACATTTATTTTTTTTACATTATTTTTTTATATGTTATGTTTCGGCTTGGGTCTAATTGTCCACGCTCAACTGACGTTGGCTGTAAATCACCACGGTCCCCTTACGTTGTGGCAAGCTTCGGGGCCACTTCCTGGAGTCGTGGAGTTCTGCCATTATTAGTACATTTCATAAAAGCGTGTTTTTAAAAACAGGTTTTTTTTTAAAATATTACTTATTTAGTTAGACAATGGCACAAGGAAGTGGCTACCAAAGAGCTACCTCTCAAATCCCTTCAAATGCCATCTGATCCACACATCTGGGGGCAGCACTATACCAACTGCTCTGTAACCAAAATGTATGCTTGTCGCAGGGCAAATGGATATTTACCCTTTTTATTCTCAGAATTGGGATTTAGTTTAAGTGCAGAACCAAATATAATGTGCTGAGGGGTTTTTCATGCGACATTGGTAATTCAGTTGTGTCCATGTAGTCATTGCAAATGAGAAACTGGTTGAATTAGAGGCGGCTGCCTGGATTAGAACCATGAATCTCAGCGGTGCCAACTCAGCCCTCTGGACTCTGAGCCGCCTAGCTATCATGTTGGAGAGGTTCACACCCTCCAAATGCAGTGGCCGCCCTGATTAATACTGCCGGTGTATCTGAATTACAGTGGACGTTGAACATCCCGCAACACCATTTGCAAGCGTATGCCATTGTGTGCCGGCATCATGTCCACAGGTTTCCAATTTGAAAATAACCGGCAAAATAGTCAATTGGAAAATACAGAGCCATTATCGCCCCCTCCTGGAAAGTTAGCAGGACTCTCCTGAATAAGGGTCGTGATACTCAAAGAGGTGTTTCTTGGTAAACAAGCGTGATACAAAACGAGTTGTAAACAATATAAACACTTGCAAAGTGCATCTGGAAAATGTTTACGTCGCACAAAAACCACTGGAACGTTAACATATCAACGATGGGCATCAAACTCACACATTGTTCACATGTTTGGAGGGCATCCCCAATACATTATTGCCTTCTGCCGCAATGGGAGAAGGAATAAGGCAATAATGATGCCCTTCCCGTCATAGGTTTATTCATTACACCGTCATAGGTCGGTCCAAAATATATTGGTCACCATCACGATTACAAGACTGTCTCGTTGCATGTTCCATCAAAGTGAGTTTTTATCTTACTATCCTGGGCACATAACTGACATGATGTGCACCATCAAAGAAACAGGCCATCATATGCACCGGGACAAAGATGCCACAAACCCATTCACGAATCACCAGGGAACACGACAACTCCGAGCTTTAGACTGAAATAATTAATTCACCCAGAATATGCTTGATCTCGTTGTATCTAGGATGCTCAGCGTGCTCGAGCCCTGGATAGTGCTGGGATTGGGTGACTGCTGTGCATGCTAAGTAAGTCATAGGCATCTGTGGGCTGAGCTCAGTGGGTGGGCACCAGAGGGCCACGTGGGAAAAAGGTGTTGTTGTCCTCGACTATGTGCACACATCTATACTCCGCGCCTTCATCAACCCGTGCTGGCCAACGTGAAGTATGGTCAAATAGCCCCCAAGATCAGCTTGTTGTGGGGAAGCCCTCATTGGGCAGTGGATTGACAAAAGGGATATGTGAATACACATCGTCGTTAAATAGGGGCATTGCTAGACATAGTCGTGCGTGTGTCAATCACCATCATTATCGTCATCATCATCGCAATAACGTTGAAGCTTGTCGTTGGGAAATGTGCGCCAATGTTTAGCATCACTTACCCCAAAGTCCCATGAAGATTGTGAAGAATACGGTGTCCGGGTTTTCATAAATAGACGAACTCTGCACCGACACGAGCGGAGGTGCTGGTCACAATTAAACCTGGGTACAGTACCAACTGAGCATCCACATCTGTTCAATATTAACAGCAGCAGCAGCAGCAAAATAACGATGCAATGACCTGATTAAAATATATTCATCGCCTGCGGTATTTTGCAGGTGGGGAATCGATCGTGCACGATTCACGTACGCTTTTATGGTTCGACTAATGCATAAAATAAAACGGTACAAATGTGACAGGAGAAAGAAGATGCATTGGGTAGTTCCTTGATGGCAGACAACCATTTCGGACACGTTCAAGCGGTAGTAAATAATTACTTGGTCGTGATATGTTCACCAATTAGGACCCCCAATACAGTTTAAAATAATTTGTCGACTTGTCTTGATAGTGAAGAAATGCTCACAAAATACCATAGCATCGGATTAATTCACGCTGGGATGTGATGGTGCATTCAGCTTCACGCACGTGTGTGTCCAAGCATTGACTTATTCCATTAATAAGCCATATTTGCTTAAACTAAACACAGTCTACCTATACGTGCGTGCTCGTGTGTTTAAAACACCCAGTGGTCAACAGTGGCGTAGTGATTAGTGCACTGCAACTACAAAACCAATATCAGCAGCAATTGCCTGACCCGGGTCCTACGCCTCCCCTCGGTCGACTGAGCACCTGGTGCGGTGTGTAAAGAACCAGCACTGGTGCTGTCCACACCACGCATTCGTGCACCGTGCCAGCCTGAATAGGTGCCGACTAACAGCACTTGCCCCAACAGTCTCTATACATATTCTTGGTTATTTCGGTAAAGTCACGTAGAAGGGAAACAATAAAATAATAATAAAAATATATATAAAACAATAAAATTCTCACGACGTTTCGGCTGTAACACAAAGCAATTGGGTAGTTCCTGATAATGATTGCTTGTGTTGCAGTCGAAACGTCGTGAGAATTTTATTGTTTTATATATATATTTATTATTTTATTGTTTCCCTTCTACGTGACTTTACCGAACGAACCAAGAATATGAATCCCTGCAGTCACGAAAGCTTTAAATCAAAAGTCTCTATACAACTATAGGGGGATCTCTGTCTTTTTAACAGCCACACAAATGGCAGCGTAGTATTTAGCATCATATGCTTCGATCATGGTTAATGATCCTACAATCTCAGCAACATGGTGCTTGCGTTCTGACCATGATGGACAACTCCAATGACCGATACTTATCCTAATCGCAAGGGGAGCATCGATGTTGTGTTTGTGCGATACCTTAGCAGAGTCGCAGGTTTCATTTAACCTCCAAAAGGTGCATCGTTTGTCACACTGGGGGCACATGACCAGGATTTCACTGAAGCTGTTGCAGATTTCTTCACTGCACACGCAGACACGCGCACACGCGTGCACGCACGCACGCATGCGCCAATGGTCATATTACGCTTGAATGAGAAGTACAATTTGGCTCAAGTCAGTGCTTACCATTGTGTTGTGCACCCCCTGCGTTTGGCATTGCCCCACTCGAAACAAGGTTGCAATAAAAGGTGGGTGCCAACTTTTAGCATTAGCCAAAGTAAAACTCACATCCAGGAAAGACTTTGCAGTAGTGTCCTGTACGAGAGTGCGGGACGCTACGGCCATGGTTAGCTAGGAGATGTTAACGACCTCGCCCGGTACACAGGGGGACGTGGGTTCGATCCCGACCCTGATGCCTGCTGCTGTATATTTGGAGTTTGCTCGTCTCTCTCCCTGTGGCCGTGTGGATTTTTGTCCGGCTCCTCCGGTTTTTCCCCTCCGCATTTAGAATCAACGTCACGCGTTTAGAGTATTTGGCTGCGATGAATGTCCACGTGATGATGAGCCACTTCGTTAAGCTGTAATTTCTGGCCAGGTCACTTCTGAAAACGAGCTATGTAGCTCAGTGGGCCTTACCTGGTAAAATAAAAATAATGTAGTTTAGTAGTATAGGTGTCGCACATGGGCCTCTCGTGTAGGTGTCCATGTGCACTCCACCGCATTCCTCCCCTCCATCCCCCCCCCCCTCAACCTACATCATGCAGTGGGTAAGCAGCCGTGTAGCAACCATTGGAGATCATCCGGTTGAGGTTGAAAGTCGTTTAACTGTCCTGTGACACGTGGCAATAAAGCAGCATGTGGTGGACCTGCAAGAGCATGTATCACACACAACACACACACAATACACACATGCAACACATCACACGCATGGTTGGGTGAGCTATGGTTGACTGACTTAACTGTGCAAACGCGACCTCCCTCCCGCCTCTCCAACTGCCACCAGCCCAGAAATTCGGTCTTGAACCGACCCGTAAACCAACCCTAATCCAAGGCAATCTCAAAGCAGACGTACGATCTGGCTGCGTACGGCCGGCGGGATGAGGGCGTCGCGATCGGTGATGGGATAGACGTCCTGTTGCGACCGCCGGAAGGCCCCCTGTGAAGTCGTCGGGCTGCTTTGGCACGCACGGCTCCCGGCTTCAGGCGGAAGAGCTTGCCCAGGCAACCGGGCGGCCCGCGATCCGAACGCGACACCTGGCCGAGGTCGCTCTCCCCGAGTGGCACCTGTTTGATTTATTTGAACGGGTGAAACACTTTGCCACGGGCACGTGATATGATACTGCGTCTTTGATACATTTCATCATCATAAAGCAACATCATCAGCCATGATCAGTCATCTGATGGATGAAGATCTCCCACGAGTTATCATCGCTCACCGTTCCTATCATGCAACAATCCGTCTGCCAAATGCCAATGTCTCTGCCTATCCCGCCCACTAATTACAAGGCCCCAACTTTTGTCCATATCATGAGCACCTGCACCCGAGCCACTCTCATCTCTACATTGGACATCCTCTTGGGCACATTCCCTCCTTTGGCTGCCACTCTATCGTTGGTCTCGATCAGCAACCATCATCATCATCATCATCGCTTCTCGTGACATGTTCTGCTCAAGGCCATTTATCTTAACAGTAAATGTTCGAATCTATTTTTTTATCATGTATGTTTTTTTAAATCTGTCTGTATATTTCCGTTTCTCAATGTCTGTAAAAGTCTGCGACATTTATTATCTTTTAAAATTCGTAAATTATTGTCAAAATCATGATCAATATGGTCATCATGAAAAGATTATCATCGCAATAATCACCATCATCACAATCATTACAATCGTCGCCATCATCACAATCATTATGACCATCATCACGGTCATCAACAATTATCACAACATTCCATCACAATGATCATCATCATCATCACAATGATCAACACAATCATAATCACCCATAGGAATCATCATCACCATCACCACCAGCGTCATCTTTGCAATGACCGTCAAGTGAGCCCCTTGCCTGGACGTGCAGGATCTCAGCATAGGTGCTGAGAGGCTCTCACGGCGCGTGCACCTTCACGAAGGCGGTGCGTCCGCTCACCGACTCCTGGTCAACGGCACCGAGTTTTGGTTTCCTTCTCTTTTGTTGAACCAGGTGGGGGGACTAAAGGGGACAACAACCGCCGTCTCCTTTGCGAGAGTGGGCCATGATCACGTGTGGTTTTTCTTCTCGTCGTTTTGCGGCACAGCAGCTCCCGTGCGCCTCCAGGTCGTGGCCGCGTGTTGGTGGGGGACGTCAAGCCGAACGGTTTAGAACCCTCCCCAAAAAAACACACGGGAGAGGCAGAACACCTCTTTGTACGTCACCAACAGCCGGAATGGCACACACGCAGGAGAACAAATACACGCCCAGCCGACCACTACTGGACATCTGTGAAAAGAGAGCTTTATAGCTCATCGGATTCCTCCAGTAATAAATAAAGATTCCGCTTTTGATTCAGAATTGAGAAGCTCATTGCCACCGAGTGGGCAAGGTCAGGAATCATATCGGTCAGGGCAAGTGCTGCTTGTGAGCATCTATGAAGGCGCGCGAGAGAACGGTATGGCTGGCAGCATCACACAGGCGGCCACTTTTGTCTCACCGGAACGAATGTTTACACACCGCACCGATAGAGGACCCAAGAACGAAGTGGCTGCAATGACAGCTAAAATAATTAGCGCACTAATTATTATTGACGCACCACCATCATCTTATTCGCAACCTCCGACCCACCACTCCCCTCCCCCACCAGCCCCCCACACCCCCCACTCCCCCTGCACCCACACACGAAACCCTTTATATTGCGAATCACGGTGTCTGCGTTATTTCGCGGACACGCCGCGTCTGTGCTAACGGGTGGCATCACGGAACTGGCAAACCACGGACTGTTTCTTAGATATCCCCCCCCCAAACCACCTCTGTTCATTCACCAATTTAAAAAAATGGCTAAACCACTGTTAATCGGCGGATTTTGCGTGGCGGTGTAAAGTGTAGTTATTCCCATCTCTTCCGAGACATCTGACGAGCATGTAAGGGTAGGCTGAATGCCCTCCGGAGGGAGTTCCCTAGCGCTCACATCTAGCGGAGCACCTTCTGCCAGCAGTGACGTGAACAAGAAATCACACTCCTCCCACCTTCACCTCGTTCTACTGTGTGATCCACAGCTAAAGAGACACGCAGACAACTTACCTCCTTGGGCTCCGTCTCGAGCTCCAGCCACCGTCTTCAGCAGCCTTGCCCGATACTCGGACCTCTTCGTCTGCCAAACAAAATCGAGCACAGATGTAATTTTGCTCTCATTTCGCGTTAGGGGCCGTCCACAAATGACGTCACGCGACTTTGGACGATTTTTTACCCCCCCCACCCCCGTCACACGGCGTCACAAAAATAAGTCAGACCCCCCCTCAAATATGACGTCACAAAGCTCTGCCCCCCCCCCCCAAATAGAACATGCTTCAAATCGCTTTAAACTATTGTCATTGCAGTGCGTATTTAATGTGGCGCTGCACTCTGATGTTGTAGGAGTAAACATTTATTTTAAAAAGTCTATTCAATTAAGTAGAACGTGTTGTCTATATTTAAATTTGCGCATTTTGATGTGACATCACATTTTCTCAACCCCCCCCCCGTCACACATCGTCACAAATGTCTGACCCCCCCCCCCCCAGGTGCGTGACGTCATTTATAGACGGCCCCTTACTTTGGGGTCCAAAAGGTGAAGTAACTTCACCAGAGCCTCACACGGATATGCCCTGGAAGGTAGCGTCACTGAACTTCAGTAGGCCTTCTGAATAATTACTTGAAGTTGAAATATCTTGAACTTGATGCTTTTTTAACAATACAATAATTAACATAACCCTCTGTCAATCAATTTCCGGATGGTGGCCTCCCCCATGCTGCATTGGTTATAGGGGGTTATCTGACCATATTTCAGCACGCTTGTCAGTGCGGATTGGTTAAGTAGGGGCCCAGGACTGTTTCGGATATAGCTCACTCCTGGTTAGCCTTGACCAGGAATCAATCTCAGGTCGCAAGCTTCATCGGACAGTGCGCTAACCAGTGTGCCACCGCCCCACCCCAGGCCTTATACAGCACGAGACAGTGCTGCTGTTAGACCAATTCACACTAAAAAAATGTAAAATCATATCTCAGAAGCTAAACACGATAGAACCTGATTAATAATTAGATACGTCACCACCAACGCTTGCTCAACATTGTAGACTTGAGGGTGGCCAGGAGATGTCAGTGTTGAATGTCACGAATGGCACGAAGCGGTGAGTTTCCTTCCACACAAACCCAAAAACAATCCTGATTAAATGGTATTTGCCAAGCATCTTAATGCAGGGCCCTCTATTCTAAGACTAGTTTTCCACATGCCAATTTGCAATGTAGCTTAACATCGAAATTTAACACACTGCAGGTTATCTGGGTATGAGTGTGTGCAATGTGGAGGTGATCCATTCATGGTGGAGTTGAGTGATGGAGTGAGAGATGTAAAGATCATTGGTTGTTCTTCTTGGTTCTTTCGGTAAAGTCACGTAGAATGGAAATAAAATAATAAAAATAAAACACAATAAAAAATATAATTATTTTATTTTCCTGCTCCCTCAATCTCCACGTCCACGATGGTCGGTCTGGATGATGCGGGATCTGCGCAGGCGATGTGAGTGAGGGCAGAGGGGGTAGGTGGTTCTGGAAAGGGGGGTTGGCAGGCACAGGAACGAAGTTCGGTAAAGCATGCACGTGGTCAGAAGAATCCGGATGTTTATACTGGATGATTCCGATGAGCTATGAAGCTCTTTTTTGGGGCGGGCCTGAACGTTACGATAACAAGCAATACAAAAACACGACACAGACACACGTGGTATACTCACTCATATGCTGCACGTGGTACTGAAGCTTCCTAACGTTGGTTGAAAGCGTCATTGTATTAGCCCTTGGCGCTACAGCTCTCGTAAAGATTATCCAGAATGAAAGAACATGTAATCTAACGTTTAGTTTACCTTATTTAACGCCGGACAAACACGTCAAAGTGTTGATAAACATTTTCAGACACACACCATAGGCAAAGCAGACTATTTTAATTACACAAAAATACGTTTTCACAGCTTTACTCATCGGCTGCCATACAGCTGATGAATTATTAAATCTATTTCATAAGACAGGCACATGTTGGGAAGCGTTACGTAAATCATGCATATGCATGATTTCTCAAAACTTGTTTTTCGTCTCAATACAGTACTGTATACTGAAGTGCCTTTGACTAAATTACACTGATCTCGAGAGCCAAGTGTGAT